TGTATTTAAAGACATTACAGTAATTGGCATTGAATGTGGTCTTAATACTTGAATTAATTTTACATGATTTTCTTCATTTTTGTTTTCAATCTTTGTAGTTTCTAATGTAATCATTCTAATAATACCATTTTCAAAAGCACATATAAGTGTTGAGCCTGTCTTTTCAATCTAATCAAAGTTTTTTCAATAAAATTTTAATAAAATAATACTATTTAAATTATTCAAAGAAAATAAAAAAAAAACAAATATTTACATTACATGGAAGCCAAATAATCTGGCTACCAGTATTATGAAATTTGTAAATTAAATTTAATGTTTTTTCTATATAATTATAAATATGTAAATTGCCATTTTTATCAAATGTTGCTACAAAAGGTCCCCAATCTGCTATATCCATATCAACAACAGGACCAGCATGACATATAAAAATTTTCTTTTGTATAGTTTTTTTTTTAAGAGTACAAAGATCAAGTAACCATAGACCTCCATTTCCATCCTATTAAATATTTTTTTCAATATTTATATTATGTTTTATATGTATACGTGATTATACTATACTTACTTGGGCATACCAAATTGTTTTGTCAAGATTATCTGGCTCCTGTTTTTGTATACTTATAAGCATTGCATTTTCTTCATTTTCTGCAATTTCAAATTCATAAATTGGTTGAATCTCAAGAAATTGTTCATCATCAGCAAGATCAGCATGATCTATGGTTTCATAAAACCAAAATCGTATCCATCCATCAGATCCTAAATTAAAAATTATATTATTTTCTATATTTTTTCTTTTTTTATAATAATTGCATATTAATTGAATTTTTGTATATGTTATTACCAACTGATATCAATTCTTGATTAATAAATTCAAATTGAGTAATAAAACCAGTATGTGCTGCTTCTTTATTTTTTCTGCATGCTTCAAGTTTAATTAAACTTTCATCCCATAAAAGGATATTACCCCACTCACATCCAGAAATCACCTAAAAAATTTACTTAAAATGTAGTTATAAATTTTTATTATATTATATTTTTGTAATATGATGAAAATATATATATATTGTATAAAATATATATATTGTAATATATCACATTGTAAACTTTTTTTTTTATGCAATTAATTTAATGTTTTCTTACAGTTTCATTTGGCATGGGATAAATTGCTATAATATCAGAGATTTCTGTACTTCCGAATTTACCAATTTCACCTTTAAGTTTTAATCCAGTAAAAGTTTTAGACATTTTCCAAAATTTAATATGTCCTATACCACTTGATGTTAATTGGCCAGGAATGAATTTAGAAAAAGTAACATTATATATATTTTGAACATAAGATTTACATTGCAAAACAATTTTTGATTCTTTCCAATTCCAAAGGGAAATGTAATAATCAGGCTCACCACCTTGTGATGCTAATAATAAACCATCTGGACTATAAAAAATATTATTTCATATCATATCTTAAATATATATATATATATATTTTTTTAAATAAATAAATAAATATTTATTTAAAATTATTATTAAATATAAACCTATATGATAAATGAAGATAACGTTTAGTTGTTCCTCCTTTTAAAACAATTATAGTTGTCATACGAGGCCAATCAAGAATATTTATCACAGGATTTTTACCATTTGCTCCAATAGCAATATGTTCAAAAACAGGGTTTTTCTATAAAAAAAAGATATAATATTTTTTTTAAATAACTTAAATAATTTTATAAAAATTTTAAAAAACTTTTTAAATTTATAATGATCTTAATTTTAATTGAAAATACAATATTTACTGATATGTGTCCAATACCAGTTCCTATAGAACCTAATTTAAACCAAATTTTATTTTCTTCTACATTAAAAAATTGAATTAAATTGCCAGCAGCAAAAGCAATAGTATTTGGATCAACAACACAGAGATTGAAATATTTTCGACAATCATATGCATATGAATAACTAATATATACATATTAAGAAATATAATATATAAAATAAAAATAGAAATGCAATAAAAGAAAAATAAGGATACAAAAATTCTAAAATATTTTCAATTATAGTTCCATCTTGAGGTTTCCAAGCTATAAATGAATGCTTTTCATCTGTCACATCAAATATTTCTTCTGCATTTATATCTTCTTCTTCTTTTTCTTCTTTTTCTTTTTCTTCTTCTTCTTCTTCTTTTCCTTCTTCTTCTTTTTCTCTCAAGTCTTCATCATTTTCTCTCAAAATTTCATCATTTTCAAATTTGCCACCGTTAGCCATTTTGTTTCTGCGACCAATATTATGATAATGATTATTAAAGAATAAGTATTTATTTTTTTTTAAATTTTACATTTTATTGTCATAAAAATTTTCTTATAGATTTTTACAATTATGGAAATATTCAAATTACTTTATTAAATTTTTAGATATTAGAACAATTTAATTCACAATTTGTAAAAGTAGGGGCGGTAACAAATGTCACTCGATTTCTTTGTGTATTCTTGTTGATCGTCGGTTGTCAAGTACATTAATTGTAGTATTACTTAACATATAAAGTTAAATTAATCATGGCAAGTAATTATTAAATATATTAAATATTTTCAATATATTTATTTTTGTTATCATAATAGTTAAAATTATAATTTTTTTTCTTTATAATAGTAAAAATTATATTTTTATAAAATTATTTATTAATTAAACAAAATAAATTTTAAAAATAATGTACAGATCCGTTTCATCCTCATTCAAAATAGAGCTGGAAAAACAAGATTAGCAAAATGGTATATGAATTTTGATGACGATGAAAAACAAAAATTAATAGAAGAAGTCCATGCAGTAGTAACTGTACGAGATGCTAAGCATACAAACTTTGTAGAGGTAAATTTTATATATAATTTATTATTATATTATTTAATACTTGTTACATGTTAAATTGGTTATATTTTAGTTTCGTAATTTCAAGATTGTATATAGAAGATATGCTGGTTTATATTTTTGCATTTGTGTTGATGTCAATGATAATAATCTCTGCTATTTAGAAGCAATACATAATTTTGTTGAAGTATTAAATGAATACTTCCATAATGTGTGTGAATTGGATCTTGTCTTTAATTTTTATAAGGTAATATAAATATATATTATAACATAATTTCATAATTCTATAATTCTCTTTAATAAAAACTTCTTATAGGTATATACAGTTGTAGATGAAATGTTTTTAGCAGGAGAAATAAGGGAAACTAGTCAAACAAAAGTGCTGAAACAGCTCTTGATGTTAAATTCATTGGAATAAAATTATTTAATGTTATTTAATTTTATTAATAAAATATATAATAAAAATGTAAGAAAAATAAAATATATTATGAACAAAAAATTTTACTGATTAATTAATTTTCATTAAATTTTATATATTTTATAATAATTTTATATTAATTATTTTGTAAAAATTAAATTAGATATATGATATATAATATATAATATTTGTAAATAATATAATGTTTTAATACAATTTGTGTAAGATAAATTGCTAAAATTTTATACAAATAATTTATAAATACATATTGATAAGTTTTACTATATGATGTATTTTGTTTAATTATATTTATTAATTATGTTATTTTATATATGTTATACTAATTATATTATTTTCTCTTTTAAAGTAAATTTGAAAAGAATTCTAAAAATAATAATTAGATAATTTTAAATTTTGTTATATATAATATCACCATTCTAAATAAATTTCTGAATATGCAATAAATACATAGTAATTTTATATATTATATATTTATATATAATATATTTATAATTTTAATATTTTATATATTTTATATATTTCATTTATATTTTATATTTCATTTTAAAGTTTTTATATTAAAGTATAATATCTTATCAAATAATAATAATGATTACAACATAATTACAATAATAATTATAAAAGTATGATATGAAGAATTTATTAGAATAAATTAATAATAAATGATTATTTCTTATTGATATTAGTTTTATCAATCATTAAATTTTGAATATTTTGTTAAATATTTGTTGAGAATTAATTCGAGTGTAATCGAAATATTAAATACGATTAATCGATAATTTAAGTTATCGAATCGTATATCGAAAGCAAATTTCATTGATATGGATAAAAGAGTTTTATAAAGATAAATATATATATATATATATATAATATAATATATATATATATATTTGCATATACTTAATAAAATATTCAGAAATTAAAAAGGATTGATATTTCTAAAATGCATAATACATTTTTATACTATTAAATAAGAAAGATGAACAGTGTTTAGAATAAATATTACTTGCTAAATCTTTGAACGAAATTTATAAATATTTATAAATTAACATTAGAATTAGTGTGAAATTCATGAAGTGTGTGTTCTTTTATGTAATTATTAAAATTTAATAAGGAAAATATGATACACAGAAGTTTTCTACTACAATGGATTTTGGTAGTGATATTTACAATCACTATCATTTATTTAAAAATGAAATTAAATTTCCTGGAGGATCACTACAAATTATTGCGTAGGCGTTATAATAGACAATTAATTCTATTAATTTATAACAGCAAAAGTTTCATCCTTTTAATATCTCGTTCTGTTAAAGGTGATGGAATAACATAGGTATCCTATCGTACTTCCAGACAATGCCATCACGCAAGAACAAAACAATATTCAAACTGGGATAGAAGCTAGTGAACATTCTTACAAATCACCTTTTGATGATCTCATCATTATCTACAACAGGGTACCAAAGACAGCATCAACCAGCTTTGTAGGTTTGGTCTACGATTTGTGCAAACACAACAAATATCATGTTTTACATATCAATGTTTCTAACAATATGCATACTCTTACACTTGCTAATCAGGTAATATTAATTTTTATTTATTTATTTTTATTTATTAATTTATATTTAATATATTTTTAAAAAATTATAGATTCAATTTGCAAATAATATAACTGTTTGGAATACAAAAAAACCAGCATTTTATCATGGCCATGTTGCATTTTTGAATTTTGAAAAGTAAGTAAAAAAGGTAGTCATTATGAAAATTATTTATTTTGTTTCTTAAAATTATATCTATGCTTTAGATTTGGTATAAGACAAACACCTTTGTATATAAATCTCTTGCGTAAACCTCTAGATAGATTTGTTTCGTATTACTACTTTTTAAGATATGGAGATAATTTTAGACCACATTTAATTAGAAAAAAGCATGGAGACACTAAGGTTTGTAATCAACAATTACAATTACAATTTATTTATTTATTACATTATAATGCTTAATGTACATTTTTTTAGACTTTTGACGAGTGTATTGATGCAGGTCAACCAGATTGTGATCCTGATAATATGTGGCTACAAATACCATTCCTATGTGGTCATGATCCTGCTTGTTGGTAAGATTTAATAAATTATTTTAATTATTAATATAATTTAATATAATTAAATAATTTATAATAAATAAATATTACTTAATAGGGAAATTGGAAATAGTTGGGCATTAGAAGAAGCAAAGAGAAATTTACAAAAACATTATCTTCTTGTAGGAGTAACAGAAGAATTAACAGAATTTGTAGAAATATTGCAAATTGTGCTTCCACGTTTCTTTAAAGGAGCTTATAATTCTTTTTTGCATAGTAAGAAAAGATAAAAATTAAAATTAAATTAAATTGATTTTTTAATAAAATTTAAAAATTATTAATAATAAATTAATAATTTATCAAATTTTAGATAATAAATCACATTTACGTCAAACGACTCAAAAAATTAATCCGCGACCTGAAACAATAGACAAAATTCAAAAATCTGTTGTTTGGAAGATGGAAAATGAATTATATAATTTTGCTCTGATGCATTTTCATGCTGTAAAAAAACGATTTATAAATGCATCTCCTCAAGATATAAATCAACGATTTATGTATGAAAAAATACGTCCAAAATAAAGAAAAATATAATTTCTTAAAATTAAAACCTTATTATTATATATTTATAACATAAAAATTATATAATTGATAAAATGTATAGGTAAAAAAAAATTTATTTAATTTTGTATCATTTTTGGTATTTAGATTTGTTAGTTATTTGTAAGTTTGTTATTTGGCTTTAAAGCAAACATATAAACTGGATACAATCCACGTGGAAATTTATGTTGTTGTTCTTCTTTTATACAAATTAAATTTGATTTCTGAAATATATGATATAATTCGGAAAGGGGTCGTGTCACTGATGAATCCTTAGTATCAACTTCTAAATTTTCTGAAGTTGTCACATTTTCTTTAATTACTATTATACCATTGGATCTTAAGCTACAACTATAAAAATTATATTAAATAATTAAAAATAATTTATATTTTTAATCAAAAATAATTTATATTTTTTATTAAAATCAAGTAGTACTTACGAGCATTTTTTAAAAAATTCTATTAAATCATTATGTTTTAAATGTCCCAAAACCCATTGACACCAGATGACATCATACTTCTTGGTATTAAAGTAAAAATTTTGTAGTCCTTGAAATATGAGTTAATTAATTCAATATCTTTTATATCATTAATAAACCTATAGGATATTACCAATGGGATAATAATTTTGAATTCTTGTAGAATAATTTTTCAAATATGTTTTAGCTACTTCTAAAAATTTTAAATTTTGCTCCACTAAATCAACATGTTTAAAATGATTTAATAATAAATTTTTTGTTATCCTTCCTATGCCTGCACCACAATCTAATGCAAATGTTTTTGATGGAGGATTTTCTAACTAAAATAAAATAAATTTTAACTATTATAATATTTAAAAATATTAATAAAAAATATTTTTAAATATTAAAAAATTAATTACAATACATACTTCGAATAAAGCTTTCAAAAATTTCGTGGATCCTTTTATATCAATTTGAGAAATAAATCCAAAACCACCAAGCATTCCATCTACTGTAGCTGGAACATGTTCCCAATACTTAGCAGCTGCTGTATAAAATTCATGTTCTTCAAGTGTATTTTCTTCTTTTTCCATCTTTGATGATGATAAGTAATACATCCTACTTATTTAAGTTAATTTAATTTAATCTTATTTTTATGTCAATAATTTAATTATTTAAAATAAAAAACTATCAAAAGATCATGTCACATGTTTGAAGAAATTAATAAAAAATAAATATTAATTTATTTTCATAAAATATAAATAAGTCAAATATTTGTGTTTAATAAAAGTCTTTCATTAAATAATATTTATGGATTAATAAGATATATTAACAAAAAATTTTAATTTTTCTTACTAATATAATTAAAATAAAATATAATATATTTTATTGATATATAATAAATTATCGATTTATCGATTATAAAATATCGATATATTGCTTATTCTCTTTAATCGAAATATATATCGGTAATATATCGATTATTGAGTATAAAACATTCTTATAATTTAAAGATAAATTTATAAAAAGAAAATATTATGTACAAAAAAACTATAATTTATTTATATGAAAATTTATATATAAAATTTTGAATTAAGGATTACATTATGCATAGTTAAAATATATAGGGTATAGTAGTTGTGCATACTCACTGGTCAGTTTGGTTAGGATAAAATCGATGTTAGTCGTTAGAGAGCAGTTCTCTTGGAATCATGGCAGAAGTACGGCTTTATGACTCAACAATTTGTCGGTTATGTGCAGAAGATAATGGTAATGGAGAATTACTTTATATGGGAGATGGTGATGATCCAGATTTAAGTTCTATGGTCAATCGGTACTTGCCGCTCAAGGTATGAAGCTTCGAAACATTAGACTCTAACTTGACTTCCTGCTTTATATACAAATACTACCTGAATCAAATGTTCGATATTTCCTTCTTATACGTTATATTGTTATTTACTTTATTTATTATGTGAAAATTTATTATAATATTTATAAATTTTGTATAATTACAGAATATCTTGAATAATAAAATCAATAATAAATATTTTGTATGTTCGTCATTCAGTATTGAAATATTCTTATAAATATTCTTATTTTATGTGATACTGTGTGTTATGAATTTTATATAATTATATTTAATTTAAAATAATTTATAATCAATTATTTTGTTATATAAATTTAGAAATGCCAAAAATTTCAGATTATTAAAGAAATTTCTTACGGTAATAAAGTAATAAATAATAGTTAGAATAATTATTGATTTATTGAGGTTATATTAATGTTAAAATAAAAGGATTGATTCTATTTCAAAATAAATAATATAATACAATTTTGGTTAAAGATTCATGATGATGGCAAATTACCACGTACTATTTGTCCTGGTTGTAATATTCAACTGGAGGCTACAATACAGTTTTTTGAATTATTGGTGGATGGTCAAAGGAAAATTCGTGAGATGTGGAAACATCAGGTAGAACAACAGCGTAAAGCAGAACGAGAACGTCTTCGTGCAGAAAAGGAAAATACAGAAATTAGATCTGAAACATTACACTTAGATAATATTTCAAGATACAATGAAGAAGATCAATTTGAACAACAGATTATAATAAAAAGTATTATTTTATATTTCAATTAATTTATATTTTAATTAAAAATTTATTATAAGATTATTTATTATATTATTATTTAACATAGTAATGCCAGATGGTTCTATGTATGCTGTGGATCATGAAATGAGTTTACAAATGGAAGGTTTAAATAAACCTAAACGAAAGAGAGGGCGTCCACCAAAATCTCAAACAGAAAATATATCTATGGTTAATAAAAATAACATTTTTGTTTAAGACAAAAAATTTTTAAATTATTAAATTTTAGGAATTAACAAAAGGAGAGGTATTAGAAGGAGTTAGTCCAGAAGAAGAAGATAAACATGAAGAAGAAGCAGATGAAATAGATGGAGATGGAAGACGTCGCAGAAAACGTAAAGTTCCAAAAAGGTATTTTTTATAAGAAAAAACAATTGATAATAATTACTATCATTTTTATAATAGAGTATGAAATAATTTAGATATATGGAAGCAGTTCAAGGTAAAGAATTAGAAAGAATATATAAAGAAGAGGGAGTAATTGATGAAGAAGATGATGATGAACAAGATACTTTTGAAGATTCTGAAGAACAATTAAATATGTCAGTTCCTGATAGTCATGAAGGTAAAAAATAATGAATTCTAATATTAATTAAATATTTATCTAAAAATTATTTATTGATAATCATTTTTTTTATATTCTAGAAATAATTGGTCATTTAGAATCTGAAGAAGGAAAAGATCTTGGAGAATTAGTGATAGTAAATCGAGGTAGAGGACGAGGACGACCGAAATTACGTCGTAGAAGAAATAAATTTACATGTCAATTATGTGGTCGAGGATTTCTTCAGCGTAGTAGATATATTGTACACAAGTAAGCAAAATTTATTTAATTTTTAATATTGTAAATAATAAAAATATTTTATTTTTCTAATTAGGAGTTTCCACAAAGGTATAAAATATGAATGTTCAGAGTGTAAAAAATTATTTACAAATAAGGAAAATTTAGGATTGCATCAAAAGGCAACTCATCATATTGGAAATGATATTAATCAAGAATTCGAACATGTTGTGCAAGATTCAAGTTTAGAATCAAAACGTCATTTATCTGGGGAAGATAATATTTCTAACGTAATAGATCATGTTTTAACTGAAGAACAACATACAAATAAATTTTCAAATAATTCTAGTGATTACCAAAAAAATTTTTCATGTGAACAATGTAAAAAGTTATTTGAAACAAAGGAAGCATATGAATTACATATTAAAGTAGTTCATGATCATGATAAGTTATTTATTTGCACTATATGCAATAAAAATTTTACTCAACAAACGGCTTTAAAACATCATATGTCAATACACGAGGTGTAGAAATAATTTTAAAATTATCGAAATATTTTAAATAAATAAAATTAATAATAAAAGTTTTTATTATTTTTGTAGAGACATAAATTAGAGAAAGAATATCCATGTGATATTTGTGGAAAAGTACTTAATCATCCTAGTTCTGTAGTATATCATAAAGAAGCAGAACACAATAATGGTCGACGATTTGTTTGCAATAAATGTGGGAAAAGTTTTAAACATAAGCAATTGTTACAACGTCATCAACTTGTGCATTCTGATGATAGACCTTATATTTGTAAATCTTGCAATGCCAGTTTTAAAACAAAAGCGAATTTAATTAATCATCAATCTACACATACTGGCGAAAAAAAATATTTTTGTGAAATCTGTGGACAACAATTTGCACATAAAACTAGTCTTACATTGCATTACAGGTTATTATAAAAATACAAAAATTAAATTAAATAAATTTTATTATTAAATGAATAAACAAATAATTTTATATTTAGATGGCATACAGGACACAAACCATATACATGTGAGGTATGTCATAAAAGTTTTTCACAAAATGGAAATTTACAAGAACATATGCGAATACATACAGGAGAAAAACCTTATTGCTGCGATTATTGTGGTAGAAAGTTTACTACTTCTTCACAATTTAAACTTCATGTTAAACGACACACTGGCGAGCGTCCTTGGAAATGTGAATTTTGTGCAAAATGTTTTTTGCATAAAGATACATGGAAATGTCATGTGCGCAGACATAAAGGAGAACGACCTTTTCAATGTGCTCATTGTAATCGAGGTTTCACAGAGCAATGGGCTTTAAAAAAACATCTTCGTTTGCATACTGGTATTTTTTTATATTTCATTTTTATGAATTTTGTATTTTTTAATTAT